GGTGGAATCTCACTGTTGTTTTAATTTGCATCTCTCAAATATCCAGCAATGTTGAACATTTTTTCACGTATTTACTTGCTGTTTATATTTTTTCATCTGAGTGTGTGTTCATCTCAGATGCACATTTTTGGATTGGGTCTTTAAATCTGGGAGCATTGATTTTTTGAGTTCTTTATATGTTCTCAATAGTAATCCTTTATCTGAGGAACAGCTGGCAAACATTTTCTCCCACATTGTGGGTGGTCCTTTCACTCTGTTGGTGGTTTCTCTTGCTGTGCAAAAAAGCTTTTCAGTATGGTGAGATTCCAATTGTTGATTCTTTGTGATAAGTCCTATGCAATCTGGGTTTTATTCATAAAGTCTTTGCCTACGCCAAAGTCTTCAAGAGTTTTTTTTTACTCTATCTTCCTGCAGATTTAATGCTTCTGTTTTAATTCTAAGATCTTTAATCCATTCTGATTTTAGCTTAGTACATTGTGAGTCAATAAATATTTTTGTATTTTCTTTTGTCTTAAGAATACTAGTAACTTTTGTATTCCTTTTTTTTTTCATGTAACTTTCAGCTCAATTATCTCTGTATATTCAGTCACCTACTCAGACCTTTGATTTCTGTTTTTGGTTACCATCTCCTGGGCATCCTGGGTCAATTCCTTTAATTGGCCCCAGGTCAGTTCTAGCCTCATCCTTGTCTCTCGGTTGTGGCATGGTTTGTAAGACATCACTGTCATAGGACTGAGTATCAGCTTCTTGAGAGGTGAAATCAACTTTTTCTCTGAGTCTGGGTCCATGATACAGCCAGATAACATGCTCTGGCATCCAGATAGGCTGTTCAGCATTCTCTGGAGAAACACAAGCACACCCTTCCTACTTGCTTTTCCTTTACCTGATAAACTGCCTTTCTGCTGCTGTAGTTCCACCCTCTGCAGGATTTAAAAAGTTAATAGTATATACTGCCAAGTGAAATCTATTATGAGGTATAAGCTCATATAGGGAAGAATTACCCTCTTTTTTTTTAAATTGGTACCGGGGATCAAACTCAAGACCACACACCTGCAAGGCAAACACTTATGCTGCTGAGCTAAATCCCCAGCCCTCCCCTTTTGTTTTTATAATTGAATTTTGAGTGTATTGTGAGTGCATCCAACAATTTTTAGACCTTGAGGATATGAAAAGTTTCACCAAATATTTGGAAGACAACACTCCTACAGGCCGGGCCATTATCAGTTTTAAGTGTAGAAAAAAAAAAACCCTGTATCTTTTATTTAGATGCCTGGGGCTCCCACTTGCAGCTTTTGTCTCTAGCTGTGGCTCTTGCCTTGGGGCTGTGGGTGAAATTCCCTGCAGGCAGTGGCTCACAGGCCTGAGGTAAGGACTGTTTCCCCTTGGCTTTGCCCTTTGGCGCTAACACTTTGGTGGCAAGTGACTAGGAGGGGTCAGTGTCTGCCTCACTGCCAGGGATGGGCTCCATCATTAGGGCCTCCTCCAACCAAGGGACATGACTGTTGCCACTTCTGTAGCCATAGCCACCATTCTGGAGGTAGGGATCAGGTTTACTACAAAGTGAGACAGTGATGTGTTGGATCCAGCCTATTACCAGCTTGTGAATGCCAAATGTTGAATTTTTAGAAGTTTTACAGATTGGATGTTGTATTATTTGAAATTATCTACTGTGAGAGTATTTTTTTTATTGTGACAAGAACAGTTGTGTATGTGAGAGTATTTTTAGTTTTTTTTTTACAAATCCACTTGTGAGAGTATTTTTTAAACAAAATCAGCAGACCACAGATCAGGACTACACTACTGCCAATCATCAAGAGTTTGCTGAGCAGGGCTGTGCTGTCTCAGGGAAGTACTCTGAGCCATAGAATCCCTACTCTTTGCAGGGTTGTCATGTTGTACTCTAAGAAAATAGCTTCGTTACACGTGTATTATAACAAAACCTGAAACATGGCTTATGTATATGTTTTCCTTTTCCCTTTCGATGCCCTAATTGATATGTTAAGCAATGCTCTCCTCTGTAAAGAATTGTAAAACCTTACCTATTTGATATGTTAACCATTGTTGCCCTCTACATAACAGAAGTTGTGCTAAAACAAGCTAACAAGGGTTGTTAATCACTGTTAGGTGCCTCTACTCTCCGCTAAAGAGCTAAAGAAAACTAGGATGGCCCTCTAATTTACACTTGTTTGAAGTAACTTGCTTGTGTGCAGGGAGATTTGCTTATTATCATAACCCTTTACCTGACCTTGATCCCCCTCCCCAGAAAGAAAGAAAAACATAACCTCCGTTTTCTGTTCTGTATGGCGCCTTATTGCCTCCCTCTCCCCTTACCTATCTATCTAGGCTAGGCCATAAAGATTTTGGGTTTCTGGTGGCCTCTTTCTGACCTGGTGGTGGTCTGTCATAAAATGTGCCTTAGCTTCAAGGAAATTACAGGAAAATGTTGTGGCTTAACCGTAATGTACCAAAAGGGTTAAGTTCCAAATCCTTGTGAAGGCTTAAGTTTTAGCTTCTTATAACTTTCGACCCCTTCCCACCTGCTAGTGTTAACTAGCTGTCCTGAGATAATTAGCTTTCTACTTTCTTCTCCAAATGTTATTGCAGATAATTCTTATCTACAGGATGGGAGTAACTCAGAAGGTGCCAGAGGGTCCTGAGGTTGTCAGAACTAAGTGGACAGCTATTCAGTTTCCAGATTCGGGTCAACAAGTTTGATGGCTCTGCAGGTTTCTTTGTCCCCCCCCCCTTTTCCTCCAGCCTCTTTTTAAAGTCCTCCCTTCAGTCTCTGGCACGCAGTCTCCAAATTGGCTCCCGGAGGCTCGTCACCAGGCCTGGAAATAAAGCCTTTGCTTCCCAAATTTCAGTCTCTTGCTTCCTTGGATTTTATACTGGGGTCCGAGTTATTACAGTCACAGTTCCCTACAAGAGGTTTCCTGGAATAGGTGGGTCTCCCACATCAGTTTTGAATCTACACTGAGTGGCTCAATAATATCCTTATCCATAATACTTTGGACAGATAGTAGCAAGTTTTGTTGCAGGGACAGATAATGGCTGTGCTGCCCTTACAGATGCAGCAGAGCAACCTTGGGTAAAATGTCCCTTGTCTCCACAGGTGAAACAAGTAACCTTTTTTCCCACCTTTTCTCTAGGTTGTAGATGAATAACCTGAATGATAGCTGCTACCAAGTCAGCCCTCTGTACATATGTGTGACCAGACAGAATAGGCTATTTTATGTGGGCTCTTAAAGCTTTATACTGTTTATTTGCATTTTCAAAGGCCAATTGTTGAATATTAACTTGATAGTCTCCATGTCAATTATTATCTTCCCACTAGCCTGAAATGTATATGCTGCAAAATATTGAAAAGGTTCATCAGGACCCTGATGAATAGAAGTCAAGTAAAAGGATGTCTGCCCCTTTGAAGGAAGTTCCCTCCACACCCTTTTGGCAGCTTTTTTTTTTTCTGGTACCAGGGACTGAACTCAACTGAACCTGCCAGGCAAGCACTTATGTCACTGAGCTAAATTCCCAGCCCTGTGGCAGCTATTTTAATCTGTTCATATACTTGCAATTCAAAAGTAAGTTGATTATTTATGACAGCAAAGACACTTTCTCCAATTAGCATGTTGTGAGCGGCACTGCAAATGGCCTGATTTGCACACAATTCAAAAAAAATTCCTTTCCACAATAAGTAATCCTCTGGAGTTAAATATGCTTTAGTTATTCCCTTCCAATCATTTGGGGCCATAATCTGTTGTCCTATAAATTCCATTATACCTATAGCAAAAAGGGCTGTAGGACAATATGTAGTGGCAGCTTTTTTTAAAAATTTTTTTTATTTTGAAGGTAGTAAAATACAGCAGAACAAGACAGAACAAAGCCAATTGAGACAATCAGTGAAATTGGTACAGAACATCAAAGCAGGATACTGGGATAACAGTAATAGGTACCAAAGTATATCTCATTATCTTCACAATAGTTGTCCTTTCAATCAGGTATAACAAAATCAAACCTAATACAGAACATCATAAAACCTATCAAAACAGAGTATTGAATACAGCAGTACAATTAATCAGAACAAAGCAAAACAGTGATAATATTTGCCTTCAAAGAGATGGTAGAAGGAAATCCCCCATATTTGCTATATTGCATATGGTCATCCTCCCAAGAGATGTTTGAATTTTCCACTAGCCCCATCTATCATTATATACATCAAATAAATAGTTTCTTAGAGTGTCACTTTCTTGGGTCATCTAGAGGTACTGACTTCCTTAGGTGTTACTAAATTTGTCTCTGTTTTTTAATTTATCCTGACGTTGGTATGGGCAATCTGCAATCTTAGACCTCTGGCTCCCATTTGCTAAGGAGGGGATGGGGGATGGGATGTTTGATTCTGAGCCTGCAATATGGTAGGCTCATGGCTGCTTACCAAGGAAGCAAGTGGGTTCCTTTGTTGTCCCGCACCCTACGTTCCACCATGGCGAGGATCTTGGGAGATGGCAGCTTTGTTTTAATTTCAAGGTTTTAAAGGGTACAGCCTCATGAAGATGAACAACTTGTCCCAGGTTATTGGGAATTTGAACTTCAGTAACTGTTGGGGACCACAAATTCACAATGGCTGGTATTACATACTTCTTTATGGAATAAACGGAGGTTTAGGATTATCAGTATCACCCATTTGAGATTTCTCATTACCACTTTAGGGGTGGGCCATCCTCTCTCACCCACTGAGACTAAAACTAAAATCACTAAACTCAAAAAACACACCAGGGCAAAATCCTTCTATGCATAAAATCATCTCTGCCCTCTTGAGTCATTCTAAGATTATACTTGCCCATTGAGTCATAGACCTCTGAGTCTTCTGCCAACCTTGAATTTTCCACTAGCCCTATCTATCATTATATACACCAAATAAATAGTTTCTTGGAGTGTCACTTTCTTGGGTCATCTAGAGGTACTGACTTCCCAGTATTCATTAGGTATTACTAAATTTGTCTCTGTTTCTTTTTTTTTTATTACATAAATTAACCCATTTATTGTAGACTAGGGATGTTTCAAACAGCAGAGCTTCTACTGGTCTTTCAATTCCTTCAGTCTTCTGATGGCTGACTTGACTGTGACTGCAGAAGTGGTGTTGTAGGTCCAGGCACCACCAGCCACTGTCTTCATGCAGGAACCACAGTGCCAGATCCCTACAGCCTGTCTCTTCATCTTGGTCTTGCCACAGAAGGAGCAGGTGTACTTGGCGTGCTGGCTGATTTCAATTTTCTTCACCATTTTCCGGAGGGAGGCACCATAGCGAGTCCCATATTTACCGACAATGCCGACCTTCTTGGTGCGTTTGGCCATGGCGACTCAACTTAGGCCCAGACCCAGAGAGGTTGTCTCTGTGTCTTAATTTATCCTCTTTGGCATTGGTATGGGCAATCTGCAATCTTGGCCAGGTCTTGGATAAATAACTGGGTGGATATGTTGAAAACCCACCCTGGGGGCTGGGGATTTAGCTCAGCGGCATAAGCGTCTGCCTTACAAGCAGACAGTCTTTGATCCCCGGTACCGATAAAAAGGAAAAAGACAAAAAAAAAAAAAAAAAAAGAAAAAGAAAAAGAAAAAAGAAAACCCACCCTAATTTCCCCTGCCCATCTATCTTCTTTTAGTGCCAACTGCAAGAGAGAGAGTGAGGGGGGAGAGAGAGAGAGAGAGAGAGAGAGAGAGAGAGGAGGCTATATCCCCTTAGAGGCAAAAGTTCCAACTTGTGATGCAGCAAAATTTGAGCTGAAAAGGTGGAGATTGTTGCTTGTGGATCAACAAGGTTAAAGTTACTGAGCTGGCTGTTATTCTGCCATTTTTTTCCTGCATGGAAATAGTGCTCTGAGACAAATCCTTTAGGGTCACCCCAACAAGCTTATGACCATTAAAGCACTCTCTAATGCAAATTCACAAAAGTAATTAAATACAGGAATCAAGAATATAACAAGCATTTTTATATACATTTGTGGTTCTTGAGAACCTGCTTGTCCCTTATTTTATCTTTTTTTTTTTTTTTTTGTCTTTTTATCGGTACCAGGGATCGAACTCACGACTGCCTGCTTGCAAGGCAGGTGCTTATGCCGCTGAGCTAAATCCCCAGCCCCATTGTCTCTTATTTTATATCTGATATAGGCTCAGTATTAATGATATTAATGGGCTCAATATTCAGGATATCAATACGCTTTTGGGCTCAATTGATACACTGCCCTCCCTTTTCGGTGCACACTTAGGGGTGTCCTTCTCACCTGCTAAATGACAAATTTCATCATGTCACAGGTCTTTGTTCAAGCTACATATGCCACAACCCTTGCAGCTTTTGAACTTCCTGGGGTAAAGACCACAAAGGGCAGCAAGAAGGTGAAGACATAAAGACAAGACACAGAAAGATAGGATCAGGTGGAGCCTTCTCTCCAGAAGGGAGAAAAGAAACTGTCAACTACTGTAGTGCATTTATTTATACATTTGGCAGGCTAGTGTCATGTGACAGCCCCTTTGCGTAGCAACTTACTATCTGGATTGTCTAGGGTCTTGGTGTTCTTTGGACTGAAGCAGCTGTGTCATGTGACTTGCCTCAGGTGCTCTTTGTTTTCAGACAGGGCTTGCCTCTCCCTTGCACAGGTAATCAATTTCCAGCTTCAGCCACTCCCTACAAGTATCTCCAAACCTTTCCAATCTCTTTCTGTAAGCCAGTCCCAAATGCTTGGGAACCATGTGATCAGCTAGTGTTACTGCAATGACCTAACTTCTCTGCTACCAAAATCTTACTTTCTTGTTGCTGCTGTAACAAAATACCCACCACTGAAAGCAGAAGGGAGAAAGGCTTATTTCAGTTCACAGTTTGTAGAGTACATAGTACATAGTTGGCTGACTCCAAGGTAGGCTGGCATGGAAGAAGGGTGTCAAAATGGGAAAACAGTCCACAGCAGGAGGCAACAAGCACAAAACAGCCTGCTTTCTGTCTTTCCCTTTTATTCCATTCAGGTTACGAGAATAATGGTTAGTACTACCCACGCCCAGAGTGGCCCTTCTCATCCACATGCAGAACTACACTAAACCAATCAGTGGACTAATCACTATGTAGTTCAGACTTGAACTGTGTAGCCTAGGCTGGCCTCAAACTCACAGTGATCCTCCTGTCTCAGCCTGCCAAGTGCTAGGATTACAGGTGTGTGCTACTACAGTACTACACACCCTAGATTCAGCCACCTCTGAAAAGCTCCCACCCATGAGTTCAAAAGACTTTGAGGAACATGTAGATACAAGCCATAACAGAATACAACACTCCTGGTGCCATTTCAACTATGCCTGTCATATTTAAGAGAGTGCCAAGGCCATAGCTTGCTAAGCCAGAAGAGAAGCAAGTCTGGGAGCCTCTCAGCTCTCGGCCTTTTGCTGGAGCCTGAGCTTCTCCATATGCAGGGTCTACTACAGGAAGTCTCTTGTCTGAGCTCTCTGCAGGGCCCATCACATATCCTCAGGGCAAGTAAGGGAGACAGGAACCAGTATTACCTCTCCCTTCTCCTGACTTACAGAGTTTTCTGAATACTGTAATGCTAGGAGTAGCAGGTGACATCAACTGAGCACAGGCTGTGTTCCAGGGTCATCCTAAGCAGTCATGTTAACAACAGCTGCTGTCCATAGCAGTTCTGCTCCAATCACAGAACATACTGAGGTGTTCATCCTGTGTAAGGCAGTTTAAATCCAGGATTTCAGATCTGCACACAACTAAACAATACATATTTTACAGATGATAAAATTGAGGGCCACTGGTGGCAGAGCCCAGGCTCAAATATGTGAGCTCTCTACTGTGATTCAAATGGGTCTGCACTGTGGCGAGTGGATAGTCATTCTGGAAGCAATCACAAGAGTCTGATACATGTTGGAGGCCCAGTGAGCCTGAAGACTTATATTGTCCTGCACTGAGATCCATAGGTAAATGTAGCCTGCCTGTGCAGTGAAGACTTTGAAGTAGGCCTTCCTGAGCTGGTCAGACAGACAGATTTTTTCATCTCTATCATTAGTTTCCTGAGTGCAAAGCTCCTGCTTAATATTTTGTTGCTAAGCCATGGCCCTATTCTGGCCAGTTACATGGTAAAATAGTCTATGGCTGACTTAGGGGTTAGAAAAAGACTTTTCCCTGGCATCCAATATAAGTTGGTTGATGTGGGAGTTAGAAAAGACTGGCATCTAATACAAGTTGGTTACCCAGGAGTTAGAATGGCTATAGTGGTACAAGAGACCAAGTGAAGTTGCTTGAAGGTGGGTAGCTGCAAATAGCTGCCACCTAGCTGGGCACAGTGGTGCATGCCTGTAATCCCAGCACTCAGTAGGCTGAGGCAAGAAGATCAATTTTAATTCAAGGCAAGGCCAGCCTGGGCTACATATGGAGAGCCTTCTAAAAAAGAAAGAAAGAAAGAAAGAAAGAAAGAAAGAAAGAAAGAAAGAAAGAAAGAAAGAAAAGCAGCAGCAGCTGCTGCCACGTGTATAGCTAGGAGCACAAGGGGAAAGTCATATGGCCCCAGTTAGGGAAGCTATGTTCCTGTATGCAGCTGTCGAGCCTGGGAGTCCATGCTTCCCAGACACACACCCTCCTCTCGATATACTGGCTCTAGAAATCCGTGGAAACCAGTGGCTACTAATCGGAGCCCTAAAAGGTAGAATATGTCAACTTTCTGCAAAATCTTAATTATTCTCTTTGTCTGCACATCATTAGCAATTTTTATTAGCCCATGAAATCCATGGAACTTCACTGAGCTGTTATGTTCTGGCTTTGTGCTGACTAATGTAATAAAAGTAAAAAGTTGTGATGCATGCTGGGCAACTTGTGTGCATGGAAATGGAAGAGATGGGTATTGTGACTTCAGAGAGCCACAGGACCAGAGGGGCATGTTGGTCTTTGGTCATGGGTGGGGGCACTTCAGGCTTTTAGATGAATAGTGTGCCATATAGGTGTGACCTTGGAAAAAGCCTATCTAGCAATTTCTTCCTACTTGCTGGGGGCCATCAGTGTCTTGGGCCAGGTTCCCATCTTCTGAATGTTCCACTTTCTTGATCATCTGAGTCCTGTCCCTGTCTCTTGGGTTCTTGGCCTCACTGTACAAACAGGTCCAAGCTCCTCTTGTTGTAGAAAAAGAATGTCTTGTCCCAGTGTTTTAAAGACCCCACGTTGTTTCCTCGAACTGAACTTTATCCTGCCTCCCTCCCTCGAAGGGGCTTGCTTACCTATCCAGCAGCTTGATTTCCTCTAACCAACACTCTTGCTAAGCACTTCCTTTTCCTCAAGAGGCGCTTTCACTTCTTGGGTTTCCAAAATATCACCCACTCCTTTCTTTTAGTCTTTGAACACATCCAGGTGATTGCGGCTCTAATCTCGCCTTGAGCGCGCCTCCCCCAGCTCTCCTGGACAGAGGTCCTTTCCAACTTTCCTTTTGCCGCCTCACGCCATTTAGTTCTTTCCTTGTTTGTCGAGATTCTACTAACTCGCCAGGTGGAGACCCGACTTTTTCCAATCTCATGGTGTCTTCTGGTAAAGTGGACCTCCATTTCCCATGGGGCTGCGTATGTGTACCTCTCCGCTAAAGGCCGCATTACCTGGAGTGTTTGCTGGATGTTAAATGTGTTTTTGAGAGTCCTGGACGGCTGCACTTGGTGCGTGTACCCGGATAGGTATGTGACTGCGAGTGTACCTGCTTGCTCTAAGCATTTGGGTGCAATAATGCGCCGAGCTGTGGCCGCCCAGGTGTATATGGGGTGTGAAGAGGGGCGCGGGAGTGGGGATCATCAGGCATTCGCTCCTTCCGTACGGGTACATCAAGTTGGCGTAGGAGTAAGCCCCCGGGTAGACGCCAGCTCAAACACAAGGGGTGTGGTTTGTGTTTGGTGTGGCCAACTCCGCTCCGCAGCAACTCCGCCTTGCCCCGCCTTGCCCCACCTCGCCTCCGGTTTTGACTGAGCTCTAGCCTAACGGTCAGGCCCGGCGGTCACCCGGCGGCAGAAGAGGCGGAGTCTGAGCAGGAAGGTGCGCTGAGTTGGGGGGGGGTGGAGGAAAGACACGCCGCTAGCGGGAGAGACGTACGTCCGACCAATGAGCGCAGAGGTCGTATGGAGGCGGGACCGGGATGCCGTTAGCCGGGCCGCGGTTGGCTAGAGGTCGGCAGGGGCGGGCTCGGTACGAGTCTCCGCCCATTCCGGGCTGCGACTGGGCGGGAGGGCGGCGGCTCCCGGGCTGCGGCGTTGTAGCTTCTCAGGTAAACTGCAGGCCGAGACTAACCTTCCAGAGCTCTAGGGAGACGCTGCTAGTCCCTCGGGGAACCGGGGCGGGAGAAGCTGCGGCCTGCGCCTCGTATTGTGGCGCGGGAACTGTAGTCAGGAGGCGACTCTCCGAGGCTGCGGCGATCTTGGGGTCTTGGGGTCAGGGCCTCCCTCAGCTCAGGTGTGTCCCGCGGAGTCGGCTGCGTCTAGTTGCACCCGGAAGACAGCTGGGTACTTGCTAGTTAGCTCCTCCTTTTCGGATGCCGGCGCGTGGCTCCCCGGTGCTTGTCCTTGCCCCCCAGGTGGCGCTTGATTTGCATCCCTGCCCCTCCTGGGAATTTAGTGTCCCCAGTCCTTGCCCCTTCTGGAAACTGGATGGCCTCGGTCCCGGCCTCTTTCAGGAAATCAGTGGGTCAGGTTACTGTCCCTCTCTCCCTGAGGGGCCTCCCGATTTTCGTCCCTTTACCCCATCAGCTCACCGAAGGTTCCCTGGAGAGTTGGAAAGCCAGCTCGCAAGCATGGCAACTAGTTTTACCGTGTTCGCCTCGACAGGGGAGGCGATGTAGAGCAGCGTGATGATTTGTCCAGTCACGAGGACGGTTGGTCCTACAGTGTAGGTCACAGAGCGGGGAGGGCTGTAGGCCGCCAACTTCCAGGCAAGAAGAGAACTAGGTGGTGCTGAGCCGCTGGGCCGCCTGATTTGGGGATCTGTTTTTCCTGCAGCGCCAATGAATCTGCAGTGCAGGCTCTGTTTTACACACCTTAGATAAATTCCCCTTTGCCACCTCAGGATGGGGACTGGACAGGCATAAACACCAGTGCAGTGGGGTAAGCACAAGGGGTGTGGCAAGCCCAGACAGCTGCCGAGAAGTGGAGAACAGCTTTGTGCTAGTCCTGGAGGTAGAGACCATATTGAAAAGGGAAGGTGGTAGAAGTGGAGAAATAGATATGGGATGGGAGGTAGAGAGCTGGATGATGATGCTGATTTCTGACCTTTATCACTGAGTAGTGTTATTGTAGAAAAGAGGCAGGTGGGATAGGGCCAGCAGCAGCTCTGGGATGAAGATAGTGGATTGACTCTTTGAGCTTTGGGGCTTTAGTGGCCATGACCACCGGGGTGGGAGTGGAAGGCAAGAGCTGGAATGCTTGATTGTGAGTGGGAGGGTTTTTGTTGTTGTTGTTTTGTTTTTTTTGGGGGGGGTTTGGTACTGGGGATTGAACTCATAACTTTCCACTGGCAAGCACTTGATCCACTAAGCTAAATCCCTAGCCCGTATTTGACTGTGAGTATTTTCTTGAACCATGTCTTTGTGATATGGTTGCTTGCATAGCAGCTGCAGGCCTGGGGATGGTGCTGTCAGCAGGATCTTCATTCCTAGGCCTTAGGCTAATGTGGTCCATATTACCAGGTATCTCTGGTCTGTCTGGTGTTGGAGTAGAATGACCAGAGGTTGAGTTGTCTTTGTTCACTTGAAACTGATGTTGGCAACTGTGGTGTATTCATACTTGTGTCTCGCTGCTTCTCCCTCTTTTCAAGAAGGACTACTCCATACTGAGGGACATTATCGGGACAGAAATGATATCTGTGGGGGCATGTGCTTGCTTGAGTTCATGACCATCCATGTGGGGCAGCAAATGTTGGTGCTTAGGTTTCTTACGGTCCACAGAGACTCAGGTAAGAAGGAAGATTGTGGCTGGCTGTAATCTGCACCCTCAGGCCTGGTAACTTCCTTTCGCTGAGCTGAGTGTTGTAGAGTTAAAAGCACCTCTCCCAGTGCCAGCTTACATAGTTTGATTCTCTTGGGGAAGGAGCTCCAGGAAAGGCTCTCATGGCTCTTTCAGTCTGGTAGCCAGTACTCAGAGAATGTGCTGAATGTCATGAGAACTGTGCTTTCTTCACTGGATTGGAGAAGTCATCTTGCTTAGAGGTTGCCTGTGAACCTAATGACACAACTCCACATGGTTTATGTTGAGAAATCATGTTTTCAGTGTGTGGTAAACAACAAGTGCTAGACTGCATCACCCCGGGTTACCAGCCCAGGTGCTTACTGGTAACTCAAAGACTGGTGACTGAGTTGGGTAGTCTGTGATCTCCCCACATACTCTTCACCCTCCAGGGTAGTTCATTGCTGCCTCTGGGCTGTGGTACATGTCATCTGCCCTGCTTTCTGTGACCCCTACTGACTCTCTGTGGACTGACTGAGTGTAGGTGGCCCAGTGCCTCTGCTCTGCAGTGTATCTGGCAGCTGCACTACTTCTGTGGGTCCTTTATGTGGCCCCAACAGAGCTTTCACTTAATAATTATATGGGCCTGAGACATTTTCCTGCTGTGGAACCTGGTGGCCAGTGATCATTTTCTTATTTATTTATTTTTGGTGATCATTTTCAAAATGTGGGACCAAGAGGATACAGGATACAGCTTCAGTCGTGTAAACATACATTTATATATATATATATATATATATATATATATATGTATATATATATATATATATGTATATATGGAGAGAGAGAGACTCCATCAATTCTATTTGCCTACCACCGTCTGCAATTAATTTTGGTTTTGTGTTTTAAATTTACCCAGATCTAGGTATGGTGACATATGCCTGCTAATGTTAGTACCTTTGAGAAGCTGAGATAGGAGGATTGCAAATTCAACTCCTGCCTGGGCAACTTAGCTAGACCCTATATCAAATTGAAAGAAAGAAAGGAAACTAGTCAGCCAGCCAGCAAGATGTAATGCATGCCTGTAATTCTAGCACTTGGAAGGCTAAAGCAGAAAGATTGCTGCGATTTGGGGGCCAGTCTACATAATTAGTGCAAGGCCAGCCTAAATTACATATTGGTGCCCTGTCTCAAAAATAAAAACAACAATAACAACAAAAACCCCAAAAAACAAAATAACTACCAGCACAACAATAACCCAGCCTGGAGACATACTTCAATGGCAGAATACTCCTGGGTTCTATTCCTAATACACTCCTCTAAATTGTTCAAATCCTTGATAAGCATTTGGGTTTTTTCTAACATTGGCATACATAAATGTCTGTGCTAGTGTGAGGGCATCTCAGATAGGTGTAGAAAAGTAGCTGGTCTTTCAGACTTGTAGTGGCCACTTTTTAAGATTTGCCACTGGTACCATGCACAGCACTGAGGCAGTCATTTTCCTTATCACATCTGATGTTTAGAGAGCTCACTCTCAATGCCTGGCTTTATTCCAAGTCAGGACCTACAGCTGAGGGTACTGATCATTAACACTTAGCAGATGGTCAAAGGGGCTGCATCATCGCTATCCTCAATATATGCTGAGGGAGGTCTAGCTGTAGCACTGAATATTTAACTGACCAATGTGTTATATTGCCCATCACCCTGGAAAGACAGCAAAAAAATTTGGGGGGACACAAGATCTCAATTCATAGTTCACACTGGACTTGATTGGTAATAGTAAGCATTTTTTCCATATACCTATTAGCTATGTGTATATCTATTTTTGGAAAATATTCTGATCTTTTGTCCATTTTAAATTTATTATTTGCTTGTTGAACTTTCTTACATAGTTTGGATATTGACCCCCTTGTCAATTATAGTTTGTACATACTTTCTCCCATGGGTGTACCTTCTCTTATTGTTATGTAATAGCACTTCCCTCTCCCCCCCATGAGGTTTCACTATGTAGTTCAGACTGGCCTTGAACTTACTTTGTAGCCCAGGCTGACCTCAACTTGCAGTGGTTCTCCTGCCTCAACCTCCTGAGTGCTGGAATTACAGGCGTGTGCACCATACCTGGCTCTCCAGCGTCTATTTTTGCTTTTATTGCCTGTTTTTTTTTTTTTTTTTTTGTCTTTTACTTAGTTTATGCTCCACTTGTGACCGGGGGGATGGGGAGTGTATTTAGGCTGTTGCTGTAGTAGGTTACAGTTTAGGCTAGTGATGGAAAATCTTTTAGAGTTTTCAATAATAACAATCCACTGAGGCTTGTGTAGGATATATAGATACAGCTATTGTGTGTGTGTATGTTTATTGTTTATTCTCTCAGTACTAGGTATAAACAAACCTAGGGTCTTTGCACTGAGCTATATCCTCAGCTCCCTCTCCCTTTTATTTTGAGACAGAATCTTGCTAAATTGTTTGGGTGGGACTTGAATTTGTAATTGTTTCTGCCTCAGATTTCCAAGTGCTGGGATTATAGGCATGTACTACTATGCCTGGCTTTTTCACCTTCCCTTCTTTTCCCCCCTTCTTTCCTGCCTTCCTCTTCCTCTGCTCCCCTTTCCCCCCTCCCCTCTCCTCTTCTTTTTTGTGCAGGGGATTGAACCTAGGGCCTCACGCATACCACGCACAAAGTCAAGCACTGAGCTATAGCACCTGCCATTATATATGTATAAATATTCAAAAATTTAAAAGTACTTAATTTCAGGAGATGGGAAGGGTTGGAGATATAGCTTAGTGGTAGAGGACCTGCCTAGCATGGATGAGGGTCTGGGTTTAGTTTACTGAAAAACTGAAAAAAGAAAGACAGACAAAGATAACACAGAGAGAGAGAGAGAGAGAGAGAGAGAGAGAGAGACTTAAACACACACAGAGTTTCTTACTGTATTGCCCAATCTTGCCTTGAACTCCTAGGCCCAAGTGGTACTGTTTCACCCTCTGGAAGAGCTAGGACTACAGGAATGTAACACTTACACCCAGCCATGAAATTTAAATTTTTTTTGATACTGGGAATTGAACTCAGGACCTTGCACTTTCCAGGCAGGTGCTTATGCCACTAAGCTGTGTCCGCGGCCCAAAATTTAAAGTTTTAATGTAGTCACATAGGACAGTGTTCAGTGATATCGGGGTTTTTTGTCTGTCTTATAAAATTATTTCCAAGACTATAAAGTATTTACCTGTTTTCTTTTTCTGTCTTTTGAACTGGGGATCAAACCTAGGAATTCTCTACTAAGCTGCATCCCCAGCCCTGTTTGTTAAGTTCATTTAGATTTTGAGAGGTTCTTCCTAAATTTTTCAGGTGGAACTTGAACTTTTGGTCCTCCTGCCTCGGCCTCTTTATGTACTGAGATTATACGTGTGCACCACTGTACCTGGTTGTATTTTCTACTAAGACTTTTTTTTTTTTTTGTCTTTTTGAGACAGGTTTTCACTATATATTTCAGGCTCATTTTGAGCTTACTATAAAGTGAGCCCAGGCTAGTCTCCCAACAATCCTCCTGCCTCTTGAGTGCTGGGATTATAAGTATGAACCACCATGCCTGGCTTTTATTAGGACTTTTATAGTTTCATTTTTACATTTAACTCTTGCATCCATTTGGAACTTATTGTTATAGGATAAGTTCCTTATCCTTATAGGATAAGGAAAAATGTGAAGATTAATTTTTTCCCTCTAAGTATTAGCTGTTTCACTGTTACTTATTGACTTACTGACCAGTCTGCCTTTATGTTCTACTTTATCATAAAACACTTCTTTTTCCTTATCTAGTATTTTTTCCTGGCCTTACCATAATTTTATCCCTGTTTGTTTTCCTCCTTGACATGTAGTCTCATTATGGTTTTTTTGAGGCAGGATTTCACTAAGTAGTGCAGGCTGGCTTTGAACTTGCTTGTATAGTCTGGGCTGGCCTTGAACTCATGGTGATCCTGCTATCTCAGCCTCTCAAGTGCTGGGATTATAGGTATGCGACACCACACCTGACCATTACATCTTAATCCTTCTGATTTAGCCTTTCAACTAGCTGGAACTACAGGTGCCCACCACTGCCCTTGGTTTGTGTGCATACATTTTTTTTTTTTTTTTTTTGGCAGTTCTGGAAACGGAACCCCGGGCTTCATATCTGTTAGGCTGAGCTATACCCCCAGCTCTGTGCCTTTTTGTGGGGAAGGAAATACTGAGGATTGAACCCAGTGAGTCCTTAGTTACATCTCATCCTTCTTTATTTTATTTTTTTTTTTCTGATGTTACCCCAAGTTACCCATGCTAGTCTCAAGCCTGTGATCTCCTGCCTCAGCTTCCCAGGTAGCTGGGATTGCAGGCAAGTGCCACCACACCTGGCTTTGGAACAAATGTTTTGTTTGATTTTTAAATTCTGACTGGCTCATACAGTGTTTTATATTTAGTGCTGATCCTACATTCGCTGTATGAACAAAGGGCTGCGGAGTATTCAGTCACTGGTCCAGGAAGAAGGTGTGAGATTCCGATAGTGAAGAGAGTTTCAGCGCGCTGCTATGAACCCAGCAGAACTCAGAGACTTGAGACAAAGCTGCTGGCTGCGTTGCAAGTTGGCCAGGTGCCAGGGTAAAGTGGGCTTGTTAGAAGTAGCTCCCAGTAGTGGCAGCATATGTGGAAGGTGTTGGCTTTGGTTCTGAGGCAGCAGTGGGCTGTACCGTGGCATAATATAGTCAGCACTCAACATGGAAGGTGTGTGGGGAAAGGACCAAGGCAAAACAGGGTCCTGAGGGGAAGAGGAGCACATGGACATTTGTTGCACTGTGCCTCTCACTAAGTGGTGTGTCTTATGGGGTTCATCTGTTCACTTTTAGCCCCATATTGTGTATTCAAAGAGTAGAGGAGGTAGGTATGGTGGCACATGCCTGTAATTCTAGCATTCGGGAGGCTGAGGAAGGAGGATCGTTGTGAGTTTGAGACCACCCTGCGCTACAAAGTTTAAGACCAGGCTGAACTGCATAGTGTGAGACCTGGTCACAAACAAACAAACAAACAGGAAACAAAACAAACCCCCACATCCAAAACAAAGAGTAGAAGTTCTTGGCTTTGACCAATTTAGTTTATCAAGTTTTTCTTTTGTAGATTTTGCTTTTGGTATCAATCATAAAGATTTTCTTCTTTGGTTCTTTCTAGAAATTTTATAGTTTTAAGTTTTACCTTTAGGTCTATGAGTCATTTTGAATTTTTGTGTATGACTGGAGGTACAAATTGATGCACATGGATATCCAGTTTTTCAGCACTGAGCCCTGGAAAGAGAAACTGTGATGGGGGAAAGGAAAAGGAAAAAGTATATATATATATATATATATAAGTTAAGATAGTTATACTACATTTGCTATTAATTCATTGAAAAGGTTTGTGCCTATGTTGTTTGATCAATTTTTCATGCCTAGAACTTGTAATATGAGCAACTACTTTGAAGATAACAATGCACAGTATACTAACCATTGTTTTTGTTTTTTTGTCTTTTTGAGACAGGGTCATGCTATGTAGTTTAGGCTGGCCTTGAGCTCACTTTGTAGCCCAGGCTGTTCTTGGACTTGCAGTGACCCTCCTGCCCCAGCCTCCTGAGTGATGGGATTACAGGTGTGTGCCATTATGCCCAGCTGTATTCTCCAGCAATCTTATTTTTTTCTCTAATGCAATCTTGTTTTGAAATTTTTGTACTGTTGTTTTTATTTTCCTTAAACATAAAAAGGACTGTACCTTCTGTAATGAACTGCCTTTGTACCTTTATTGAAAATCATTTATCCAGGGACCGAGTGTGGTTCTGAGAGTACGTGTTTAACACATAGGATGCCCTGAAAATCGACTCATAGTACTACAAAAAAAAAAAGAAAAGAAAAGATTACCTTTAATGCTGGCAGCTATGATGTGCCCATATATAGGTCCACCTCCTTGGGAGGCTGAGATGGGTGGATTGCTTGTATCCAGAAGTTGAGGACCAGTCAGGGGAAATAAGAACATAGTGAGAGGATTGGAAGCAGTAGAGGAGATGAAAGCCATGGCCTTCACATTGAGTTACATTTCTAGCCTTTTCTTTTTTTAAATTTTGAGGCAAGATCTTATTCAGTCACTCAGGCTGGGCTAGAACTTGTTATCTTCTTGTCTCAGGCATGATCCACCATGTCTGGCTCAGTGGGATTTTTAAAATTTTGTTTCTTATTTATTTATTTTGGTTTTTTGACACAACATCTTATGTATTTCAGGCTGGCCTTGAACTCACTGTGTAGCCCAGGCTGGCCTCAAACTCATGACAATCCTCCTGCCTCAGCCTCCTGAGTACTGGAATTACAGGTATGTGCTTCCATGCCTGACACTTTTAAAAATTATTATTATGGGAATACATTGAATTTATACATCTATGTGAAAAGTATGTCTCTCAGGGGCTGGGGATTTAGCTCAGGGGCATAAGCGCCTGCCTTGCAAGCAGGCAGTCGTGAGTTCGATCCTCGGTACCAATAAAAAAGAAAAGAAAAGTATGTCTCTCTTTGTCCAGTATATTTTGCCATGTACTCAGTTTTTCTTAATATCTCAACATCTCTCAAGAATGTTTGATAGTTTTTATGTATCCTTTAGCACATCTTTTATCAAAGTTATCCCTAAATATTATATATATATATAAATACGCACGCCCATCTTTATGGAAAATGGTGTGACTTCTTCAGATATTCATGGATGTAAAAATAGAACTGGTTTTGGGGGCTGGGAATATTTTTAGCTTTTATGGAAAAAAGATAAAACAGGGGGCTGGGGATTTAGCTCAGCGGCATAAGCGCCTGCCTTGCAAGCAGGCAGTTGTGAGTTCGATCCCCGGTACCGATAAAAATGAAAAAGACCAAAAAAAAAGAACAGGTAAAACAAAATTTCAGAACAAAATAATAGGAGAATGACAATAGTTAATACATTACATGTTATCTTTAAAATAGTTGCTCAGGGTACAAGATATGGGCATAGAAATTTCTGCAATTGATATTAGCACAAACATACTTTTTTTTTATTCCTTTTTTGGTACTGGGGATTGAACTCACGGTGCTTGTCAGGTAGGCACTTATGCCACTGAGCTAAATTCCTGGCCCAAACATACCTTTTTAATAAACAAAGAGGCACTAACAGTATAACCGACTCGCATTTTTTCTTTGTTCCCTACTGTCCTTTCCTCTTTCACCCATCCTAGTTCCTTTTTCCTTTTGAACAATTTCTTCTCATTTCACTATATCTATTGTACATTTTATTTTGTTTGTTTGTTTGTTTATTTATTTTGGTACTGGTAATTGAATTCAGGACCTTGTGCTTGCCAGATAGGCATTTTGCTGCTGAGCTGTATCCCAGCCCTCTATTGTACATTTTAGAACTTACATTTTCAGTTTCTTACAACAGGGCGACAATATGATGTTTAAACATGGATCTGATTTATTTTACTTATGAATATGTTCTCAAGTTGCATCCATTTACCTATAAAAGTCTCAAATTTATCCTTCTTTATGGCTGAGTAGTACTCCGTTATAGAAAAATACCACATCTTTTTTATTCCTCAGTTGATGGGCATTTGGGTTATTTCCAAAATTTAGCTATTATGAATTGTGCTATTATAAAGATGAGTACACATATGTCACTATGGTAGTTCTTCTGGGAAGATACCCAGAAGAAGAATAGCTAGTTAGAATGAGACCTCTAATCCTAGTTGTTTTTTTTTTTTTTTTTTTTTGAGGACTCCCACAATGATTTCCACAGTTGTTCCCACCCATAGAGGAAAAGAGTACTTTTTTTCCCACAGCCCCTCCAGCTATTTTTTCTGGGGTGAAATGAAATCTCAGTGTGGTTTTAATTTGCATCTCTCAAATGACCATGATGTTGAACATTTTTTCATATGTTTACTTGCTGTTTGTATTTCTTCATCTGAGAAGTGTGTATTCATCTCAGATGTTCATTTTTTGATTGGGTCTTTGAATTTGGCGAGTCTGATTTTTTTCCAATTCTTTATATGTTCTAGGTAGAAGTCCTTTGCCTGAGGGACAGTTGGTTAAAACTTTCCTACTTTGTGGGTTGTCTTTTCACTTTGTGGGTGATTGCTTTTTTTTTGGTACCAGGGATTGAAATCCAGACCTCATGCTTGCCAGGCAAGCACTTATGCCACTGAGCTAAATCCCCAGCCCTGTTGGTGATTTCTTTTGTTGAGTAAAAGTTTTTTAATATGATGAGATCCAGGTTGTTGACTGTTTGAAGTATTTGCCATGCAATCTAGGTTTTGTTCATGAACTCTCTGCCTATATTTATGTCTTCAAGATTTCTACCTACTTTCTCTTCCAGTAGATTTAGTGTTTTAATATTTAGATCCTTGATCATTTTGATTTTAGGTTAGTGCATGATGATATGCATGGGTCTAGTTTTAGTTTTCAGTGTATAGAGAGCAAGTTTTTCCAGTACCATTTTGTTTGTTTGTTTGTTTGTTTGAGACAGGGTCTCACTATGCAGTTCAGGATGACCTGAGCTCACTTTGTAACCCAGGCTGGTCTTAAATTCATAATGATCTTACTGTCTCAGCCTCGTGAGTGTTGAGATTACAGGTATTTGCCATCATGCACAGTTTTCCACAGTTTATTCAAGAGGCATAGTTTATTAAAGAGGCTACCTTTCTTGTGGTAAATATATTTGGCCCTTTTGGCAAAGATAAGGTAGCTAAGTGTATTTGTATTTATGGCTGCATCTTCTAATCTATTTCGCTGGTCCTCAGATCTGCTTTTTTTGCTAGTACTGATTTTATCACAGTAGATTGATAGTATAATTTCAAGTCAGGAATTGTGATGCCTCCTGCCTTGCCTTTGTTGCCCAAGATTGTCTTTGCTATTTTAGATCTCTTCTGGTGCCAGATGAGTTTGAGGAATGTTTTATCTGTCAGTAGCTGCAAGAACTCCCGAAGTTCCCAGGAAGAAGAAAAAAAGGAGGAAGAAAGTAAAAGATAGAGACAGAAAGTTGGGGTCAGGTGGAGCCCTTTTCCAGATGGGAGAGACTGCTCAAACACTACAATGCATTTATTTATACACATGTCACACCACACCCCTTTGCTGAAATACCTTGCTTCTTGGGGCTGGAACATGTGTTCACCTCCAGCAGTCCATACACTCAGGGTGTTTCTCAGGTGCTCTGTGCCCTTGAAGCACTCCTGTTCAGGCACTTGTACTTTTGGCTTCACACTGTGAATGATTACTAGCTCAGTGGCTCCCAACATTTCTCTATTTCTGTGAGGTTTGCTTAAAAAAAAAAAAAGTCTACAGCCAGGCATAGCATAGTAATGATTCCAGAAATTCAACAAAAGAGTACAATATTAAAAGATGTTAGAGAAAAGAAATAAATCTATAAAGGAAAGTCTATCACAATCACTCCTGACTCCTCAGCAAAAACTCTCAAGTCAAAGAGAGCTTGATATGAAGTATTTGAAGTCCTAAAAGCAAATAACCTTCAACCCAGATTGTTGTACCCAACTAAACTGTCTTTCTAAATTGATGGAAAAATAAGATACCTGTATGACAACACCTGAGGAAATTCATGACTATCAAACCAGCACTCCAAAATATTCTGATGGACATTCTAGAAAGAGACAACAATGGCTACAACTCCATTAACTGCAATACACAGAACCCACCAGGCAAGGCAAACAATTAAATGGGCAGGAGCTAACAACAGGAAAATAACATGCCAGTGATAAGGTAGTCCGTATCAGTTATAACCATCAATATTAATGGTCTCAATTTACCAGTCAAAAGAATCAGACCAGCAAAATGGATCAAGAAGCAAGATCCAACAATATGCTGCATACAAGAAACACATTTAATTCAAAAAGAAATCCATAGACTGAAAGTCAAAGGATGGAAAACAATATTCCATGCACTAGAACCCAGAAAAAAGCAGGGGTAGCTATTGTATTTGCAGACAAAGTGAATTGCAAGCCAAGCCTGATTAAAAGAGACAGAGAAGGTCACTATATTGTTGTAAAGGGAACAATCCAAGAATAAGAGATAACAATCATAAATATATATGCATCAAATACCAGTGCATCCAACTATATAAAGCAAATGTTAACGGACATGAAAAATCAGATAAGCACTAATACAGTTGCATTAGGGACCTTGATACTTCATGATTACAAACAGATCAAGTAGGAAAAAAAATCAACAATGAAATACTAGAATTAAACCAAACATTTGAACAAATAGACTTAGTAGAGGTCTATAGTGTTCTACTGCACTACATCAGAATACATTCTTAGCCACACACAGGACATTCTCCAAAATAGATTACGTACTAGCTCATAGAACAGGCTTAAGTATATGCAAAGGAAATGAAATTATCCCAAACAAATTATCATACAAGAATGTAATGAACTTGGAAATCAATGGCAAAATACACCACAAGAACTTCATAATTATGTGGAAATTAAATAACACCCTCTTGAATGACCAGTGGGTCACAGATGAAATTAAAGAAGAGGGCTGGGGGTTTAGCTCAGCAGTGTGAGTGCCTGCTTGGCAAGCATGAGGTTGTGAGTTTGATCCTCGGTACCAAAAAAAAAAAAAAAAAAAAGAAACTAGACAGTTTCTATAATTAAATGATAATGATAGTACAATGTACCAGAACTTATGGAGCACAATGAAAACAGTGAATTCCCATATCAGAAAAACAGCAAGCTCAGATAAACAACCTAATGAGAAACTGAAGTTTCTAGAAAAGAAGGGTAAGTCAAGCTCAAAGCTCATACATGGGAGGAAACAATAAAGATCGGAGCAGAAATTAGTGCAGTGGAGACTAAGTAAACAATATAAAGAACAATGCCTCAAAGAGTTGTTCTTTAAAAGATTAAATAAAATTAATTAAATAAACCCTTAGGCAACAATAAAAAAAGAAAAAAAACAGGAAAGACCAGACTCAAATACATGTAATGAGGAATGAAAAGGGTGAAATCACAACAGACCCTACAGGAATCCTTATCATCTATACCTACTTTGAGAACATATATCCCAATAAGATGGAAAATTCAGAAGAAATGGTCAGGTTCCTAGATACATATGAATTAAAAAGCTGAATAAAAATATTTAAAAATTGTAAACAAGCCAATGTCAATCAGTGAATTTGAAGATATAATTAAAATTTTACCAACAAAGAACAGCCCAGGCACTAATAGGCTCACTGCAGAATTATACAGTAAATTAGGGTTAGGGCTAGGTTAATGAAATCAAAAGAGAAGCAGTCCTCCCAAATTCATTCCTGGAAGTAAACATTACCGTGCTAAACCAGAGAAGGCTCCAACTAAAGAAGAGAACTATAAACTAATCTGCCTAGTGAACATAGGTGCAAAATATCCTCAATTAGATACTGGCAAACAATGCAGCAAATCATCAAGAAGATTATACATCATGACCACATTGGATTCATCCCAGGAATGCAGGGATGATTTAAGATACATAAATCAGTAAATGTAATATACCATATTAACAGCCAAGGACAAAAGCCATATGATAATGTCAATAGATGCAGCAATTGACAATGTCCAGCACCTATTCATGATTAAAACTCTGAAAAACTGGAATAGATGGTCTTTATCTCAACCTGATGAAAGCTATCTATGACAAACAGCCAACATCATACTAAATGGAGAAACACTGAAAGCTTTCACTATAAAATTAGAAACAAGACAAGGATTTCCACTGTCACCGATGTATTTAATGTAGTTCTAGAAACATTAACTAGAGCAATTAGACAATAGAAATAAAAGGAATAAGGATAGGAGAGGAAGTTAAATTATTATTCATGGATGACATGATACTTTACATAGAATACCCCAAAAGCTTCACCAAAAGACTTCTAGATTTAATAACCAAATTCAGTAGTATAGCTGGATACAAATCAGCACTAGAAAATCAGTAGCCTTCCTGCATGTGAATAACAAACTCAGAGAAATTAGGGAAACAACATCTTTCACAATAGTATCCAAAAAAAGTGAAGTACCTGGGAATCAATGTAACAAAGGAAATAAAAGTCCTCTTCATTGAAAACTTCAGTATGCCAAAAAAGGAGCTTGAGCAGGATATCACAAAATGGAAAGAGAAAGGAAAGAAGGAAAGAGAAAACGAGGAAAACATTGGGGGCTGGGGATTTAGCTCAGCGGCATAAGCACCTGCCTTGCAAGCAGGCAGTCGTGGGTTTGATCCCCGGTACCGATAAAAAGGAAAAAGACAAAAAAAAAAAAGGAAACATGGGAACATAGCTTTTCTAAATGGGGAGAGCAGCAGGGGTTCAAATGATAGTAACAGAATGCTGGAAAAAACCAAGGTATATCCTGTGCAGGTCTGGTTTTGCCATGATGAATGTGATCATTAAGTATATCTAAAATGTAACAGTGAATTGTGATTAAAACAAGGCAATGGAAAGGTATCCCTTGCTTTTGGATAGGAAGAACCATTATAGTGAAAATGGCCATACTTCCATAATTGTTACACAGATTTAATGCAATCCTGATCAAAATTCCAACAGTATATCTCACAGAATTAGAGAAAAAATCCTAAAACTCATTTGGAACCATAAAAGACCTAGAATAGCAAAGGCAATTCAGGGCAACAAAGGCCAGGCAGGAATATCATAAGCCAAGACTTGAAATTATACTACAAAGCTACTCTGATAAAAACAGCATGGCACTGGCAAAACAAAAAACAACAGATGCAATGATCAGTGAAACTCTAAGCATACTCAGCCACCTTATCTTTGAGGAGCCAAGCACCTTCACTGGAAAATGGCCTCTTTAATAAATGTGCTGGAAGAACTGACTTTCTACATGCTGAAGATTAAAATTTGACACATATTTTTCACCATGTTCTGAACTAAAGTCAAAATGGATCAAATATCTGAATATTAAAACAGAAACATTAAATCTGCTGGAAGATAGACTAGGTTAAACTCTTGAAGACATTGTGTGGGAAAGACTTTATGAACTGAATCCAGATTGCAGAGGAACAATAACAACAACTGGATTCTTATCTCATTAAAAAGCTTTGCAGAGCTAGACAAACTACCAGAAGAGTAAAGAGACAACTCACAGTGCCAGCTTTTTCTCAGACAAAGGATTACTATGTGTAACATATAAAGAATTATTATGTGTAACATGTAAAAAAAATCAAGACACTGGAAACTTAAGCACTCAATCCAAAAATGGACTTCTGAGATGAATATATACTTCTCAGATGAAGTACAAAGAACAAATAAATATATGAAAAAAATATTGAACATCACTGATCACTTGAGAAGTGCAAATCAGAAGAGTGCTGGGATTCCTTCTCACCCCAGAAAGAATGGCTATTATCAAGAAATCAACCAGTAACCAATGCTGGCAGAGCTGTAGTGGAAAAGTAACCCTTCTTCACTGTTGGTGGGTGTGTAGACTGGCACACACTCTACCAGTGGAGATCGGTGTGGAGATTCCTGGAGGTTCCATTTGTTCCACTCATTCCTTCCTGCATATTTTCCTGAAAGAATAAAAAAACCATACCACAGCAATATGTGGGCACCCATTGTTAATAGTATAGTTTGTAATAGATCTTGGAAACAATCCAAATGCTCATCAGCTGGTGAGTGGATAAAGATGTGGTCTTTAAATTTTTTTTTTTTTTGTCTTTTTGAATCAGGGTCTCTGCAGTTCAGGTTGGGCTTGGGTTCACTTTGAAACCCAAGCTGTCCTTGACCTTGCAGTGATATCTTGCCGCAGCCTCCTGAGTGCACCACCACACTCAGCAATGTGTACACAAAATGCAGTGCTGCTCTGCTAGAAAGGGTAAGCTTGAGACCTTTCTAAGGAAAACGGATGTGTGCACATTGAGACCATGCTCTTTTTTTTTTTTTTTTTTAGTACTGGGGATTGAACTCACCACCTCGCACTTGCCAGGCAAGCGCTTACATCACTGAGCTAAATCCCCAGCCTGAAACCATACTCTTAAGTAAAATAAATTGGACATGCATGTGTAAATATCTCATTGTTTCTCTGGTATGAGAAAACGAAAGTGTAAATAAGGACCAAAATGTACAATCAGTATTGTGAAGTAGGAAGAAAATATTCACGAGGGGAAGAGATGATGATGGAAGGGAATAGGTTTTTTTAAAACAGAAAAAATGAAAAAAAAAGTCCATTACTTTGCTGTTAGTAGTAGACAAAGTGGCAGGCAGTGTCTGGATCCATGTCGATTAATTCTCACAAGCCAGTCTTAGCACCTTTATTTCCACCTTTAATTTCAGGCTGGATTCGGACCGAGTTTGGAACCTGACTTGTTTAGCCTGCAGCACTCTGTGTGCCTCCTCCCGCTGGCTTCAGCGGGTTTTCTTGACTTCCTGCCAACTTGCACTTGATTCCCCACTGCGCTGGGAGCTGCTATATTAGAGCCAGCCTGCAGCTTCTGAGTTTGGTTGGCCTCTGTAATGGCTACCAGCCAGTCGTCCTCTCTTGGGGGAAGAATGAACCCAGGTAACTCAGTGTCCACTGTTCCATTCCACTGATGCTTTTATCCGTTGAGGCCTCTGGGTTGCCAGCAGTTAGTAGGTCTGCAGGTTCAGGCTGCCTCTCCCCCATGATAAGTCAGGCCGCAGGTAGAAAGTGCCATTTGCCACCACCCCCTTGTGAGCTATGGGCTTCAGTTCTCACTTCAGATCCTTTCTGGGTTTCAGGGACCCACTTTCTTCCTTCTGTTCCTCACATTGGTATATTCCAACATCTGGACACCAGATCCTGGAGAGACTCTTCCTCTGCACTTGGCCACTCTGCCATCTTCCTGGAAATTCCCTGTGATAGTTTTCTTTTGCCATCTGAATGCCATTTTTTGTTTTTGTTTTTGTTATTTCTTTTTTCTTGCATCATTGTACTGTGCTGACTTGATCCTCCAAAATGAGATGAAAAAATGTGATTGTCTTTCCCCCCAGCTTAATGTTAATAGTTTATAGTTTCTTATTGTGGTTTAGATCTAAAGAGTCTGTCAAAAATCTTGTGTGTTTCAGGAGTGATGGTTCTATTACTGAGTTACTGTTCTCATAAGTAAATTAATCCATTGATGAGTTTATGGCTAAATATACAGTACTGTTAGAAGATGGGGCTGGGTTGAAGGAAGCAAGTCACCAGAAGCATCACCTAGAACCATTTATTCTCGTCCCTGGTTCCTTCCTTTTCTCTGCTTCCTGGCTGCCGTGAGTTGAGTTGTTTTTGGCTGCCATACACTTCGCTAGGTCAACTAAAGACCAAATTCACTAAAACCGTGAACCCAAACATCTCTGTTAGTCTGTCTCTGTCTCTGTCCGTCCATCCTTCCCCACTCCCTGCCTCCCCCAAATTTGGTTATATACACGTTTTCATTCTTTTTTTTTTTTTCAGTTGGTACCAGGGATGGAACTCACTACTGCGTGCTTGCAAGGCAGGTGCTTATCCCGCTGAGCTAAATCCCCAGCCCTGTTTCCATTCTTGCATTTTTTATTTTATTGGCACATTTTAGATATACATAATGATACTATCATAGGGATTTTATACATGATATGTCTTGATTCAGTTTTTTCCCCTTCCTCTCCCCTTGCTTCAACCTCTCTTATTTACAAAAGCTTTATTTTCACTTTTTCTATTCTTTTTTTTTCTTGTCCTTTAATTTTCCTCTTCCCTTCTCTTGTTGCCCTACTTATTTGAGCACTTTCTTCCCATTTTCAAGTATTATACATTTTAACACGTCTCTTTATGTTGTTGGTATCTGGTATTTTGTCCCACTGATAAGAAAATGGCTAGTTGCAGTGGTACCTTGGTGCTTGTCTTGGTTACTTTTCTCTGTTACACCTGTTCTGCAGCTTTCTTTCTTTTTTTATTTTTGTCTTTTTCCTTTTTATCAGTACCGGGGATTGAACTCACGACTGCCTGCTTGCAAGGCAGGTGCTTATGCCGCTGAGCTAAATCCCCAGCCCCTTGCAGCTTTCTTTAGATGGTCCATGTTCCTGGCTTTTCCAAGCTTCTGGGGTCTCCACTGTACCTTTGGCTTCACACTCACAGCTTTATGCACTGCCCTCTCAGGGGCAAACTGCCTGGCCTTCCAGGCCCTCTGAAATCGGGGTGGAAGCCTTTTTTTTTTTTGTCTTTTTCCTTTTTATCGGTACCAGGGATCGAACTCACAACTGCCTGCTTGCAAGGCAGGCGCTTTATGCCGCTGAGCTAAATCCCCAGTCCCAGTGGAAGCCTTTTTAACCTCAGAACTCTTGCATTCTGTATGAACCTAAAACCAGCACTGCATGGCTGACACTGAGATTTGTCTGCTGCCAGCTGGAGCAGTAGCCAGGCTTTCCTCTCTCTTGGTTGTAGGGGTCGAATGCCTGGATCACTGGGCATTCTGAATCCAGTTCTGAGGAACAAACTTTTTATGCTGCCACCATTCTGGAACATGATGCTCTGCAACTTTTGCCTCAAAGCAGTCTTTCACTTTTGCAGTTGTGAGGTTGCGAAGATTTGAGACTTGCTGCTTTCTGTGATACCTTTAGGTCATCTTTTTTTATTCTCCTGTTCCTTTTCAACAATTGAGATTTCTTCAGCTCTATCTTTGCAGCTCCCAGCTTTATTGGAAATTTCTTTCTGGCCAAACTCAAAATGTTTTAAGTCTTCCTATTGGGCTCTTTGCTCTTAATTCACAACATAAATCTGGCTAAAAGCCCCCAACAATAGCCATGCCACGGCCTCAACATTTAATTGCCTTGAAATTTCTTCTGCCACATTCATTAGTCCACCACCTTAATCTTAGTCTCAGGCAGAGTCTCTAGACATGAGCGAAATGCAGACAAACTTTTTGCCAAGCCATCTGGAGTCCAGCATCTAATGCAGCCCTTTCCAGCAGGAACCTGGTCTGTACCAGCAGGATCTCTATCAGCCTCCTGGCCTTCTGAGCTCTGATCAGAATCTCTCATACAGAACAGCCTAAGGTGTTCCAGTTCTAAGCTTTCAGGCGACATCTTTGAACCTTTCCAAACTCTTCCCACAAGCCATTTCCAAAGGCTCTTGAACCACATGGTCAGGTGTAGTCACAATAATGACCCTACTCCTCTGGTATGAAATTCTATCTTGGTTACTTTTGTTGCTGGGACAAAATACGTGGCACCCCAAAATGAAGGAAGGAAAGGTTTATTTAAGGTTACTGTGGAAGCATCAGTCCATAATCAGCTGGCTCCAAGGCATGGCACTGGGGCAGCACTTCAAGGCAGCAGCCAGAGCAGAAGGAGTGGGGGAGAGCAAGTCTGTACACAGGCCACCCCTCATGGCTACAGGGCCAGTGTAGCACTCAGAAAATCCCTTAGCTGTCTTCTTACACAGGATGGGAATGTTTACAGAGAACAAACCCTGGCTCCCTCCTTAGTATGTTAGTTAAACTTCTAAACTCAAGCTGACACAATGTATCAATGATAACAGTACTCATTGATAATTGGTTTTAGGAAGTGTGATGCCAACTAAACTAGTTTTGGTTGGAAAGGGTAGTGAGCGTTGATAAATTTGACAGTGACAAGTTTTGGCTTCCACACTGAGTCCTAAACATGATGAGTTCCAGGACAAAATTGTCACATCACGATATTGTATCAAATTTGGTGAGTTTCAAAGCAGTAGAGTACAAAATTATTACTGTACACTTATCATTAAGCAATGTTAACTATGTGTATTTTTTTATTTATATTTCCTCATGTTTAGGAAGCTCCCTTCTGCTCCCACTTGGCTTAAAATTTGTGTTCCAAATGGATGTTGGATTGTGACAAATGCTTTTTTCTGCATTTATTGAGATGATTATAGTTTCCTTTTCAGCTTATTAATGTAAATTATGTGGTCTGAACTTTTAAGATACTAAACCAGCTTTTATGGAATAAACCACATTTGGTTATGATGTATTATCTTTCTTATATGTTGCTGAATGTGATTTGGTGGGTTTTTTGTTTTGTTTTGTTTTGTTTTTGTCTTTTTGAGGCAGGGTTTCCACTACGCCATTGAGGCTGGCCTTGCACTTACTTTGTAGCCCAGGCTGGCCTTGAATTTGCAGTAATTTTCCTGCCTCAGCTTCCCAAGTGCTGTGATTATTTGATAAAATATTGTTTAAAAAGTTTTCTACCTCTGCCTGTGAAGGATGTTGTTGGCTGTAATTTCTTTGTAATCTGTCTGGTTTTGAGAGGAATACTGATCTCATAGAATCAGTTCAGAAGTGTTCCCGTTTTCTGTTTCTTGGGAAGAATTTTTAGAATTTCCCAGGAAGCCATCTAGGCTCTGTGGGAGTGTTTTTAACTGTACATTTAATTTCTTTATTAGATGAAAGATATTTAGAGGTTGGGGTGTGTGGTTTAGTGTTAGTGTTCACTTACCATGCTCAAAGCCCAGGGTTCAATTTGCAGCACCCAAATTTTTTTTCAAAAAAGGCTGCTTGGATATAAAGCTGTTTAAATTAAACCAGCCGGGTGTGGTGGCTTACTCCTGTAATCCCAGCACTCGGGAGGCTTGAGGCAGGAGGATCCTTGTGAGTTTGAGTGAGTTCGAGACCAGCCTAGGCTACAAAGTGAGCTCAAGGCCAGCCTGAACTGCATAGTGAGACCCTGTCTCAAAAAGACAAAAAACAAAACAAAACAAAAAAAAAAACCACCCAAAACAAATCCCCCTCCCACCAATGTTGAACTCATTGGTCCTCAAATTTATGGCAATCCTCCTGCCTCAGGCTCCTAAGTGTCCACAGTACAGACATGTGCCACCCTGCCTGGATAAATACTTTTTAGTAAGCTTTGGTAACTAATATTTTAAGGAGTTTTTTTCTTTTAAGTGGTTGAATTTACTGGAATAAAGTTGGTAGTTGTGTATGGGTGGCAACCCATTATCCAAAGGCAGGTAGCTTGGAAGGAGTAAAAGGGAAAGGCAGGCTTCTCTGCTGTCTGCTTCCTGCCCACTCTGCTTTACCTGTCCTCTTCTGTGATGTCTCTCTGCCGTGCCACCTGCCTCGGAGCCAGCCAACTACAGACTGAAACCTCTACAAACTGTGATCTAAAATACACCTTTCCTTCTTTAATTTTGGGTGTCAGGTATTTTGTTTGAGCAATGAAAAGAGTAACTAAAATACTCATTTAGGACTTGAACTTGCAATCCTCCTGCCTCAGCTTCCCAAGTGCTAGGATTCTAGGTTTCCATCTAGGTATTGAGTTTCTTGAGAAAGAAGGTGAAGTTATTGTTTGTTTGTTTGTTTGTTTGTTTCTAATACAGACTTTAAGTGTGGTTAACACCCACAAATTTTGATATATCTTTATTTTTATTCATTTGAATATGCTTTACAGTTCACTTTTGGTTCCTTTTTTGATGCTTGCAATATTTCAAAATATTAAGTAGTTTCTAAATATTTGGGAATTTCTCAGATGTCTTTTACTGATTTAATTAATTCTGTTGAAGACAGAGAGCATACCTCTTATGTGTTGAATTTTCTAACATGTATAAGA